GTCCCCCGGCCATGCCGATCACCCACGCTGTCCACATGCAATTCACGCAACTGCCTCGGCCCCCCATGCCGGCCTGGGTCCTGTACAGGAGGACTGATGGTACCCCCTTATCATCAGCCCTGACCACTGAGAATGTGACCTAGGCATGACTTATATGCCCAAACAGATAGACAAAATCCTTCAACTGGCCCACAAATCTTCCTTGGCTAATAAGTAGAGATGCTATTGCATTCCATATATACTCCACAAAATGGACTGCAACATCCCAGACACCTGCTGGGCTTGTACCAAGAATGTAGGTACAATAGCTCATACAATATCTTCTGGTTCTGCCTCAAACTACACCCCTTCTGAAAGGACATGAAAGCCAAAATAAACTGACTTCCGCTGATTTAAGTGAGTCACAGCAGCCTGCCTGCTCCACCTGATGAAAAGACCCATCCAGAATACAAGGCTTCTCTTACTATCCACTAGGTGAAAGTGGCCAATGCTTGCATTTCGGTTCTGTGGAAGCAAACACAACCTCCGACTAGGTCATTGTGGTATTCCAAAGTTAGATGATCTCATATGGAAGACTTGCCAGGATGCCCCTGGAGAGTGACTCTCTCTCCCCGTTCACTCCTCCCCACTACCAACCCCATTTTTTTCCCCCCACTTCCCCGCTATACCTGTTCCCCTCTACCTGGCCCATAACAGATTCATTTACCTACCGGGTCCTCACTGCTGCCTTGATAAACCTGGTAACTGGTCATATGGTCTTTTGGGACACTTCCCCCGGAAAGCCAGCTAAGGCAGCCAAGTATACATGAACCTCTAAATTGTGTATTACATTAAAATGTATAACGTCTAACATGATTCCATTTGTCAAATTCAAGCAGTTGGGTTTCTTGGCTCTATGTAATGCAATTCGTATGCTCATAAATATGTTGAGAATATGGAAATACAATGCATATACTGACTCTCCGCTCTAGACTTCAATGTAATGTTACAAGCCATTCTCTGGAAGAAGCTTTTCTATAAGAATTAAAAATAAAATGTCTCAGTTGAAATCATTCAATTTAAAGTGTTAATAAATCACAGCGGAGCAGGTCTGATACTGAAACACTGAGCAGTACTGCAACTCTTTGACACATGGATACACATATAATCTGCGTGAATTTTATAAACCTGGTTTCTACTTAGAATTTATAAATAACAAGGTGTGGGGTATGCAAATAACACATAGATATATCTAGAATTATGGGAGGGAAGTTATCTGAACACTGGGAATTGCTAGTGATAAAGGTGTACACACTGTACTAGGATACCTTCTCTTCTATATAAAAGAAAAGAAGGGAAGTTGTACCTGTGTGTAATGAGAGCTCTGATCTCCAGAAGCATTTATCATCACCCTGTGAAGGTTGGATATGGTCAGGAAACTGAGTGCAATATTCTAAAGCAGCACCATCACTAGCCTTTCTCAGGACATACATATATATTATACATATACAGTGCTCAGCATAAATAAGTACCCCAACAGATTTGTCAGAAAACCTTTATTTGTACATGAAATTGTCCAAAATATTTGGTATGCTGATGCCTTAAGAGTTCCCTTCACTGGAACTAAGCATACCAAGACATTTTGGACAATTTCATGCTCCCAACTTTGTGGGAACAGTTTGGGGATGGCCCCTTCTTGTTCCAACATGACTGCGCACCAGTGCACAAAGCGAGATCCATACAGACATGGATGAGCAAGTTTGGGGTGGAGGAACTTGACTGGCCTGCACAGAGCCCTGATCTGAACCAGACAGAACACCTTTGGGATGAATTAGAGCGGAGACTGCGAGCCAGGCCTTCTTGTCCGACATCAGTGCCTGACCTCACAAATGCGCTTCTGGAAGATTGGTCAACATTCCCATAGACACACTCCTAAACCTTGTGGACAGCCTTCCAAGAAGAGGTGAAGCTATTATAGCTGCAAAGGGTGGGCCAACTCAATATTGAACCCTATGGACTAAGACTGGGATGCCATTAAAGTTCATGTGCGTGTAAAGGCAGGTGTCCTAATAATTTTGGCAATATAGTGTGTGTGTATATATATATATATATATATATATATATATATATATTATATATACACACATACACACACACACACACACACACACACACACACACACACCGGTATATATATATATATGTAGTACTATACTAGGGTCGTTGGTTCGAATCCCTGTGCCTGCGTGGGTTTCCTCGGGTACTCTGGTTTCCTCCTACACTCCAAAGACATGCTGGTAGGTTAATTGGTTCCTGTCAAAATTGTCCCTAGTATGTGTATGTATGAATGTGAGTTAGGGACCTCAGATTGTACACCCCTTGAGGGTTAGGGACTGATGTGAATGTACAATACATATGTAAAGTGCTGCGTAAATTGACAGCGCTATATAAGTACCTGATAAATATATACATATTTACCATTATACAGGATTTATCTAGCACCAACAGTTTGCGCAGCACTATATACATTAATTATATATCTCACAAATACTTTCAGACAAATGCTATTAACTCATAAATGTAGTTACAAATTATTCACAGTACAGCAGTGATCCATTTTAATTGAGCAAAATGCTAAATTAGGTAGATCATATATAGCCGAGTTGGAATAGGGAAAAAATGTGTTTCACACTAAGAATACAAAGCGGCAGCAATAAAACTGCAGTAGAAATCAGGATACATTATGTCTGCTGCAGAGTGATGAATCTTATTTATATGCCAATACCTATTTTTTCCCTTGACAGCTCCATTGAAGCGCCAGGAAAAAATGTCTATAATGATGTGGTTGCATACCAGATAAAAATCAAACAGTGCCATGGCATGCAAAATATGTGCATAAGCTAATCAGCAACACAGCAACTAAGAAAACAAACTGACACCCAAAAAGCTGACCAATTTGGTTTACAGGGTAACCCAAACATGACGTTGGGCTTTTGTTGATAGCAGACCGCCAAACAATGTAAAATTACTGCATATTAAAAAAAAAAATGTAATAAAAATAAAATACTCACCCAGGTCTATATGTAAAAAAAAAAAAAAAAAAAATTCTGTGCAGATGTCTTCAGCATTCACAACAAATCTTGTTTGTAATAGGATTTTTTTCTCCTATGTTAGTCAGCTTCATCTAGTGGTCATAACGTATTTTTTTTATTGCGGTATTTCAGAAAAATATCCCATTATGGCCACTAGATGGAACCAATGATCATAGGAGATAATCAGTTCAGGGATCATACAAGTGGTAAAACATATACCTTAATGCAGGGAATGCATACAAAAAAAGTTTTAACTTATAAGCCAATTTAATGCCTGCCATATCCATACATATGTGACAGCACAGCGATGAGAATGAACACTGATCTGATGCATGTATGCGTGTAGCTGGAGCCCCTTATTGGGCTGGGAGTGCGCTCCTTTTACTGAGCCGTCACCCCCAGCAACATTTACTGAACTGTCACTGTTCACAATTAGAGTCATTGGGACAGTAAATTACAATGGCCACATGACTAGGAAGCAGATGTAAAACTTCCTGCGTTACAAACTTTTACATGAACAGCTCCTGTTGACTGGAAGGGATTAGAGGACTGTTTCTACAGAATATCCCTGTGCACAGTAACACTCCTGATGCTGAACAATGACAGCTAACCCAAACTGTCAAACTGACAAGTGAAAATTTTGTATGGGGAAGTCTTTCAATAAAGACACCAGTTCAGGGAACAACTGTTGAAGAAAAAAAATTCCTTTCACTTTTGAAGATTTTGTCTATCTGGTGGGTCTCTGGGATATGAAGTGAAGGGAAATGGAAAAGAAAGGAAAGCAACAACAAAAACGAAAAAAAAAAAAAAAATGACAGCCCATTCAAGTTTACAGTATATTAACAAAAATGGTCCATTTTATCCCACTCTGTAACTGATGAGCACTGATGAGGCTGCACTGATGGGCACAAATGAGGAGGCACTGATAGCCAGCACTAATGGGAACTATTGGTCTCACTGATGGGGCTACACTGATCATCAGGAGCACTGATGATCAGTACCCTGATGATCAGTGTAGATGTCCCCCTGAGAAATGTCGCTTGCCAGCTCTCCTCTCCGATGCCGATAACCGGAATTTCCTGTTTACATGTGATTGGACACAGCTGGTCACATGTAAAAGGCGACTTTGCTTGGCCCCCTACTTGGACATGTGATCAGCTGGGGGTGTGGTTCTGGACAACCCCCCAAAAGTTTTGGCTATAGCACAGCTGGGAAGTGGTTAAAATGTTTTGCACAATTTACATGCATTTGTGCATAATGCATCTTTTATCTATTAACTGTTTGTCAGTAACTTTTAATCCAAAAGTGTTGGATTACATGCGTTTACATGGTATGCATGGCTACATGCGTTTATATGTAAGGCATTATTTATTTGGGGTAAAGTAAAAGTAGAAAACATCTTGCCAAAATACTCACCTAGATCATGTAGGCTCAAATCTTTTAAAGGTTTTGTAGAATCTACATGCATTTGTGTATAATGTATGAGTGATCTATTTATCGGATTCAAATTGTTTATCAGTAATCTTTGTTTTAAAAGTTTTGTAAAAAAAAATACATGTATTTAAAAATGGTATGCATGCATTTATGCATAATACATTATTTTTTGGTTAAACAGAATGCATCATTTTAAAACACCCACCTAGATCATGTAGGCTTGGATTTTCAAAAGTATTTAGTATTGTAGGTGCATTATTAGATGATACGAATCAGGTTTTAATTCGTTTTTTTTTTAATATACCGTAGTTTTTTGTCATATATAGTACTGTACTTGTATTGTGTAATCCACTTCTAAGCAATAATAGTGACATCCACTAGGGTGCAGTGTGCAATAGGAGACAGATTAGGGCATGTTTAAAGCGGAGTTCTACTCACCCTGTCAAAAAATAAAAGTCAGTAGCTACAAAAACTGTAGCTGCTGACTTTTAAAAAACAACAGCCACTCACCTGTCCCACGATCCTGCAGTGTGTCCCCTGCAGCCTGTTTCACCGGCCGTCCTGTATTCCAGGAGGCTGGCATCAGTAGCACTTGGCCCGGCTGTCACGCACAGTACAGGGGCATGACCAGAGACTCACAGTACAGGGATGACCAGACAGTGTGGGCACCCGGCTGTGATAGCTTGCGGCTTCACAGCCGGGTGCCCACTGCACATGCGCGAGTAGCGCTGCGCTTCATGAATGGTCCTGTAGTCGTCTAGGACCTGTCACATGTCCCAAAAGAGTACAGGGAGGGAGGACACCTTCCTCTTCCGATCGCCTAGGCAACTGGAAGTGGGAGCGGGTACCTGTAAAATTCGGGTACCCGCCCCCCAAAGGTGCCAATCCTTAATGGGGAGCGGAGGAGCAGTCCTTACAGTGGAACTTCCCCTTTTGTTGTGGAGCTCTAGGGCATGTTTGCTTTAAGTATACTGAAAAATAATAAGTGGATGCCCTGGACAAGTTATTGCCTATCATTCATTTTTCCTTTAAAAAAAAAAAAAAAGAAAAAAAAAAAAAGAAAAAAAAAAAAAAAGTGTCTTATTTTATTGTAATATAGACTGTACCTGTGAATGTGTATCCATATTAAGTAATTATATGGCAGCAATAAGGGTACATCCAGTGATGCATACTGGATTGTGATTTCACATATGGTCCCCAAAGAGTTAATTCGGCACAGTATAAATCCAGCTTCCAAAATGGTGAACACTAGCTTCCTGAAGACGTCCAATTACAGATGAAACAGTTGAAGCAATGTTCCCCAACCAATACATCACATCACATGCCATCCGTGGAGTGCAAGCCAGTACCCAGCCACGGGGCGGCGGCAGCAGCCATCTCAACCACAAGTGCTGTATGTACTTGGTGCCGTCTTTAGGCACATATACATGTGAGTGCGTGGTTAATGTTAAATCAGCTGCTTTGCGCAATGAACCTTTTCCCTGATACGGTTTGAGTGGCAGTGTATTGCATGGGAAGGAATCGTAACCTGGCACATGTGAATGGTGAAGTTGGGAACAAGGTATAGTGGGTCCAACCAAAAAAAAGCACAGTAAGACCAATCTAGTAATAGATCATCCAGCCATTGTGGTGAGTGCAAATCCATGTGGGGTCAACCTGGAGCCCCTGGAAATGGTCACCGGGTTTTTTCTGCTACTAATGGCACCAGAACCTGTTTACCTATCTTTTGGTTTTCAAGCAACTATCACTTAAAAAGGGATTTACTGATACGTCAAAACATTATTTGTATTTTCGGATGTTGTTCATTTATTTTATGGCAAAATGTTTAGTCATTTTGATTCACAATTTTTGGCAGCGCGGTCTATATACATTTTTATAGGACATGTTTTATTGCTGAGCAAGCTGGAATGAAAGCAATAATTCTACCACAAGACCCTCTCCATAACACTGAATTGATGACCTGTAGGGGCTTTTGACGCGTCGCCTATAGAAAATATAGGGTACTGAAGTTTGTCACCATTTCATAGGCACACTCAACATTTAAGGTTTGACATGTTGGGTATCTATTTACTCGGTGCAACCTCGTCTTTTATATTTTACCAAAACGTTGGGCAATTTACTGCATTGGTTTACCCTAAAAATCACTTTAGTGTTTTTTTTTACTGAATTGATGCCTTTGCGGCAATATCGCATGACGTAAAAAATTTGGAACTACCACCATTTTATTCTCTAGGGTGTTTGCTTTCAGAAAATATATAATGTTTGGGATTTTGTGTAATATTCAGGCCCAAAATGATGTTTTTTTTAAAACTTTTGCAAAAAATGCAAAAATGGCTGTGGCAGTGAAAGGACTAAACACTTACCTCACTCCTGGATCTATCCAGCGCTGTGCACAGCTGCTACTGTCATTCTTCAGCCCAGTATAGAATTAATTTAGGAGGACACAGTCAGTTTTTATAGTCGCACCCAGCTGTGCAGATACTTATCTGTTTTATTATCTGCCAAATGAATGCTCAGAAATGTTAACGAGCTCTTCAGTCCTTAAAGTAAATTGAAATATTACATTTAGCTATGTATTTCATGCATCATAAAGTTACACAATTAGGAATAAAAATACCTCGTAATATTTATACCCATTTGCTTAGCAGCAAGAACAGTTGCTGCCTCCTTAGACTCTAAAACTCCTAGATTAACCAACGGAAGCAATAACATCTAGAAATGAAGGAGCTAGACCCAAACAATACCGGTAAAAGTGGCCACAAAGGCAGATGCATAACTGAGAACTGTACGGATGGCGAGACATCTGTCCGCCTGGAATACTGCTGGGACACACGAAGACAGCCTTCCTGATTCAGCAGATGGATAAATGCAGCACACATTGCAAAAGCATCACTCCTCTTTCCAGTGAAAAAGGGAATGATATGCCATTACTTACAAAGTGTTTTTTGACATGTTGGAAAGGCTTTTATGACAGAGATCGCCTCGTGATGCGTGTGGTGCTTCTTACCTATAAGATATGACTGCTGAGCCATCTATAGTGTATCTTAGCACTTGTCAGAATCACACAATGTGATAGAAAGTCATGGGGCAAAGAACAGGTTCACTTAAGGGACTGTGTTGAAAGGTTCTGTATTCCCTTAAACGTTTATTGAAATGGGAAATTCTCTAAAAGCAAGGCAAAGATAAGTAATCTGTAGGTCTAATGCTTCTGTCGAATTCTGAAAGATCTCAGAAGCATCTCAAACTGATGTCAATGACACAAGACCAAAACTAATCAGCAGAGGTCCCAAGGCTGATCCAATTGTGAATGAGGCACACAAGTTGGTTGGTTGGTGGGTGGGTGCAGTTGGCCAGAAGATGACAGAAGACAGAGGAACTCAGTTTTTTTGCATAGAGGAGAAGCAGGGGTATGCAAGTGACAACAGCTAGTATGAATGCCCATTTTCTCCTTTAAGGCTTCATGTACACGAGTCTACCCTGACTGCCAGCCGCGGGAAAACGCAAAACTGTGGCAACTGCGGAACCATGATTTTGCCGCATTTTTCCCATGGTTGGCGGTCAAAACGTTCCTACCCTGAATGCGAATCTTCCACGTTCAGGAGAGGGAGGTTTAACCTCACCTAAACGCAGCAGCTCCTAAATTCTGCTATAAGCCTATGTGTACATGGACACACAGGATTTTATGGAGTTCAGTTTAGGAGCTTTGGCAAAAAAAATGCCAAACACTCCTAAACTCGACTTTAGGAGCTGCTCGTGTACATGGGGTCTAATACAAACACATTTGTGATTTCTACTGTTAAGCTGCCTATACACTGTGCAAATTTCAGCCACTTCCTGATGAACCAAACAAACTTTGGTTTGTAGATGGCATGTCGGCCTCCTGCCCGGGATCCTTTTACTGAATGACAAAGGAGCTGGGTGGAACATTGTTGGCCGAACAGTGACTGCAATCAATCAATCAATCAGATGCACCCACAATTCAGGTGTTCTGATAGACATTACCGAATACAGGAGGAATTTGTTAGCCTACAGGCTGAATGAAAAAAATCTCAGGGTAATGCCAACTTTAGAGACTGCAGAACCACAGATAGATAGATACAAGCCTTTTTTCAGCAGGAATGTGGGGGAACGCAGTTCCGGCACCTCCAGCACTGAATGTATGTAATGGCAAGGGTGCTGGGGTTTTTGCTGGAGAGTCTATTGATGCTGACTGCTGAGGGATCTATTGTTGCTTGAGAAAATCTATTTTTGCAGAGGGGTCTATTGTTGCTAGGGAAGTCTGTGGTTGCTGGTGGGGGATCTCTTGTTGCTGGGGATGGGTATTATATTTCTGGGTGGTCAATTGTTACTGGGGTGGATCTATTGTAGCGGGATGGGGTAATTTGTTGGCGGGGGTCCATTGTTGGTGGGAACTATTGTCACTGGCTGCAGGGGATATGTTTTACTGCTTTTCTTGCCATCATTACCAAATTCCATACAAATTACTTAGCACCATAAAATAATACACGGATCTGTGATCTATAAAAGGGGTTGAACCAAGGAACGGTGCTCGGAGGTGGGTAGGAGGCAGAGACCAGTGGTGACTCGGAAGGAAGGAGTTCCTGCACCTATTCTCTGAGAAAAAAAAAGTCCTGGATAGATACAGATTTGTTTTTACATATACATGTCAGTACACATGGATTTATTCCTTGAGATTTGCCATTACTTTGAGAAGGCTGAGGAACAGTTGCTGATGTTTTATGACTTACAGACCACCCATCAATCTTTTTATTTCATCATTTATTTAAGAACTTCTGTTGAGCAGCACACATTCCAGAAAATCAAACCTTTTAGACATAGGCTAAATATAAAGTGATTTTTCAGTATAAAATCTGATGATTGTTAGCAACAAAAGAAACCAGTGGAGTGGTGTTCATTTCAAAGTATCATTATACAGGATTTATATAGCGCCAACAGTTTGCGCAGTGCTTTAAAAAAATGAAGGTAGACATTACAGTTACAATACAATTTGGTACAAGAGGAAACCGAGCGCCCTGCTTATTAACAAAAGATGCCCTCCACAAAAAGGTAGGTATAAACAAAAAAAAGATAGATAGGAACTGTAACAAAGGTTATTACAGTTCTCAGCAGAATGTCATTGCTACTGCATAAGAGGGATTTCACCTTTAACCTTCATTGTATTAGTTCTAGAAAGCAGATTACATGACTAAGCTGTTAACAGGCTGTTGGAAGTTCATTGATCCAATGCTGTCACTACTGGTTTGTAGACATTCACTGGTCAGCCTTAACATTATAACCACCCACCTAATATTGAACAAATCTCACATTTGCTGCTAAAAACAGCCATGACCCACGAGGCATGAACACCAACTAGACCTCTGCAGTTATGCTGTGGTATTTGGCACTAAGCCATCAGTAGAAGATCCTTTAAATTGCGAGGTGGGGCCTCCATGGATTGGGTTTATTTGTCTAGTACATCCCACAGATGCTTAATTAGATTGAGATCTCGAGAACTTGAACCATTTTTGCAATGTGGCAGGGCACATTTTCCTGCTGAAAGAGGCCATTGCCAACAGTAACTGCCAACTGGTAGGTGGTACATTTAAAAGTAACATCCAGATAAATGGCAGATCCTGTAAGTTGCAGGGACTTCTCATGAAAAAAAAGTGTATGTATATATATATATATATATATGATAGAGAGGGAGAGCGGGAGAGAGGGAGAGCGGGAGAGAGCGGGAGAGATATATAGAGAGCGGGAGAGAGCGGGAGAGAGCGGGAGAGAGAGAGCGAGAGAGAGCGAGAGAGAGAGAGGGAGAGAGAGGGAGAGAGGGAGAGAGAGAGGGAGAGAGAGGGAGAGAGAGGGAGAGAGCGGGGAGAGAGAGGGAGAGAGGGAGGGGAGAGAGCGGGAGAGAGGGGAGAGAGGGAGAGAGCGGGAGAGAGGGGAGGAGAGCGGGAGAGAGGGAGAGCGGGAGAGCGGGGACCGCGGGAGAACGGGAGCGCGCAAGACAGAGAGCGCAAGACAGAGAGCGCAAGACAGAGAGCGCAAGACAGAGAGCGCAAGACAGAGAGCGCAAGACAGAGAGCGCAAGACAGAGATACACGAAGGACCAGCGTTTTCTAAAAGCAGTTGGCTTCTGAAACAAACATGACATCAATGTCAAAATAGGTGCCCCATGCAATGCAATAGTTGCTGCCGAATTCCTAGAGCGGTTTACGAATTAAAGCTTATTGATCCCGTCACATAACACAACTGCTGAATAACTTTTTTGAGAAGGATAATGGGAATCTGAATTCTATCCACATACATCTTTTAGGGCCAGTTCATAGAATCATACAGGAAAACAGTGCGCATTCCTGTGTGATTGTTGTGTGTTCTCCTGCAATGCGATTTTCAGGTAATTAATTTGAACGGGCAAGATTGCACAAAATCTAATGCATGCAATTCTTTTGAAAAATGTGCAGTACCATGAAGTCTGGTGCCCACACACACAGTGCATTTACAATCTGCATTTGGGGTTCCATTAACAATTTTTTGGTAGCAGCAGCAGACTGCAAAGGCAGTACAGTCCATCTTGAATGTAGCATGAGAAAAGCGCACGTTACATGCCTTTCCCACACCGCTTTCTGGTGTGAACCAGCTTCTTTCTTTAGATACACCAGGAGAAAATGCATACACACCAAATTCCTTTGTGTATGCACTCTGTAAAAGTGTACAAGCAGGGCATAAGGAATCTCTCAGGGCTTTCCATGCTGGTGTGACATCACTCCAAATCCAAATCAAGTACTTCTGAAACAATAAGGCTGCACAATGTACTTTTCAAAAGTGTAGCAATTACTCTGCTTAAAATACACCATGGTCTAATGAGAAATACTATCCCAAGTTTACCTAATAGGAAAATTGCCTACTCCTATCTTACAAAGTATTTCTAAGTGGCTCTGAGTGCTCCTGTGTCCTGCCATAACCTTACAGAGGATGGTCAATTTATAGAGCAGCAATTCCACTGAAATATTTCTCACAATGTACGTGTATGTGGCAAAACTGAAATGTGGGTGAGCAAATTAACATAGCTGCTTTGATTCTATTTTTCTCTTGTTTTCAAACTTGAGATGATAAAAATTGTACATCTACTATCTAACTTTTTAACTCTTACAGCTGTTATTTTACAGTTTTTAGATTGAGAGAAGGAGGGAAAACAGTGCACTTTGCATTTTAGGCGTAAAGGTTTGCTTTAACTGAACAGGGATCATAAGACATCATTGTAGCAGAAGGAGTGAGTGATAAAAGTGACACCCAGCAGTCCCTTATATAAGAATTCCCCTTAGGGCTCGTTCACACTTGACTAATTTCTAACTCTTGCCAAACTCCTCTATAGGGTTAGACAGGCATCAGACAGGCGTTTGGGAAGAATTAACACTTCTCAAACGCTCCCCAAATGCCCTATGCACGTTTCTGAGGCGTTTTCGATAGGAATTTGCCAAACGTTAAAACCGCACCACAAACACATATAATGAAGTTTAATGGTATTAATGCTCCGCAAATGCCTCGCAAACACCTGCCAGGCATTTGAGGAGCATCACCATAGACTTGAATGGGAGGCTTCAATGCTTCCTAACTCTACATGAGGCGTCAATTTTGCCGCGACACTAAGGTTTCTGTGTGCTGCCATGTGTAAAATTTTCATAGGCGTTTTAGGAGCGTTAAAAATGCTTCCCAAACGCCTGCCTAACTCCTGCTAACAAAGCTAGTGTGAACTTAGCCTTTGACAGGCATTTGGGAAGCGTTTTTAACGCTCCTCAAATGCCCTATGCGCATTTTTGAGGCGTTTGCCAAGCATTAAAACCACAGCACAAATGCCTATAATGAAGTTTAATGGTATTAACGCCCCGCAAATGCCTGCCAGGCATTTGAGGAGCATCACCATAGATTTGAATGGGAGGCTTCAACTCCTCCTGACTCCACATGAGGTGTCAATTTTGCCGCAACGGTAAGGGTTCAGTGTGAACAACACTGTGTGCTGCCATGTGTAGAATTTTCATAGGCGTTTGAGGAGCATTAAAAACGCTTCCCAAATGCCTGCTAACAAAGCTAGTGTGAGCCTTAATCTCAACATTACTCACTCAATCTCAGAAATAGCCTTTACCTTTGAGAAGTTGGTTCAGGTCCATTGCCTCCTGAAAAGCCTTTGGGTCTGACTTGCTTTCAAAATCAGGTTCTGTGGACAACAAAGGCAATTCAAAATAGTACAACGTATCTAAGACAAAATGAATGCTTTTTCCTCATTCATTCTACAAATGTATGCTTTTTCCTCATTCTTATACAATATACACAGATCAGTCCCTTAATTTACAAGCCATGTATTCATTGACACGGTGATTGTCAATTAAATTTTGAGACACTTTTCTCCCTAAATCACATTTAGCTAAACTGCTCTCCCTCCAAATGCTATCTGTGCAGCCTTGAAGACTGCTACTGTGACGTTCCCTTTGGAAAATGCAAGTTGTCTGGCCAACATGCACTCTTCCACACATTTTTGTTAGAACAGGTCAGGCCCCTTTCACACGGGTGAACTCCCCCAGTGGATCCGCCTACTCAACGGAGGCTCAGCACACTAATCCGAACTGAGCAGGTGGATGACGGCTCCATGTGCACTCCGCTTACGCAGAGCGGACACGTGCACAGCCTGCTTTCTTCTATGGGTAGTTGGAATGTAAACAACCGCCTGTCCATTTACATCTGACTATCATCCGATCGACGGGTGGGGTACAGATCCCTCATCTGTCCATTTTTAGCAGATCGGATGCAGGCAAATGTAACTGGAAACACGTCCATTTACATCCGCCACTCCACAGAGGGCAATAGATGGTCCGATCGGGTCTGCCTGAATAAATAGACAGGAGGACTCAATCAGTCCACCCGTGTTAAAGGGGCCTTACCATCATAAGCAAGCAGAGAGTCGGCCCCTTGCACATGGGTGTACTCCGCCAGCGGATTCACCTACTCAGCGGGGGATCTGTCCACTGATCCCCGCTGAGCAGGCAGATGACAGGTCCAGGTCCACTCTGCTTATGCAGGGCAGACACGGGCACAGCCCACTTTCTTCTGTGCATGCTCCGATTTAAAAAGACTGCCTGTCCATTTACATCCGACTGTCATCCGATCCATTGGATGGTGAATGGATCCCCAACTGTCTGTTTTCAGCAGATTGGATCGGATGCAGGCTGATTGGATCAGATGCAGGCTGGTGTAAGCAGACACATGTCCGTTTACATCCGCAGCTCCATAAAGGGCAATGGGTGATTTGATCGAGTCCGTCTGTATGAAAGGGGCCTTATGAAGATGCTGAGGACAGAAAACCCTTAAAACTGTGACGGTGCCTTGTACTTTTCATTAATGGAACTGAAGAGATGCTAGAGCAATGCAAGCAATCTCAACAGCTCGAGCAGGAGACATTGCAAAAGCACGGTTTTGATATCAGTGTTCCTTTGGTAACCTTTTCAAAATGGGAGCAATTCAAGCCATGATGTGTGCATGAGCAGATTAGACAAAGCATGCTGGAAAAAGAAGAGGTTCCGTTTGCAGAATCAGAAAAAGGGAAAACAAAATTATTACAGTGATTGGAAAAAAGAGCCACAACAGTATCAACATCACTATATAAGCAGACAATCTGATGTTGTGACCACAAAGACAATTTCAGAGGAAAAATTAGACACTTTCTGTTCCAAGCACTTAGCACTAAGAAAATGTACAAAGTTACTAAAAAAAAAAAAAAAAAAAAAAAAAAGACAAACATACATACTTCTATGTTGTAGCATTACTGAGAACTAAGTGATAACATAACCACTGATCACTCAGTTCTCAGTCTTCTCGAAGTGGAGAGCAGTGACTGTCAGTCACTGCTCTCCACTCTTTCTTCCCAGCACTCACTGGAGCAGTGGGCCAAGGAGGGGGGTGGCACAGTTGGCTTCACCTGTGAGCGGAGAGATGGAGGCAGCTGTCAATCAGGCAGCTGGGTGGATCCAGACAATATGGTCGAGTGCTTTCCAGGAACTGGAACAGCTCTGTGACATCAGCTGACAGTGGGCTTTAACCCACTGTCAGCTGATTCTGGGTCACAGGAGAGCACAGGTAAAGCAGGCCACAGACGAGTAAAAGCCAAATGAAAATTCTTGGTCATTCATTTTTTGCATCATTAGTTTGCCAGCTATTGAAAGTGCCTGATCCAACAAGTTTGATTTTGTTTTGAAAAGTGAAACAAAATGATGGCACAATTGTATGCTCCATTTTCAATTTTGGATCGACAGAACGTTCAGTTTTTGACTCGTCTATGGCCTGTCTTAGTGCACATCTGTGACCCACAAGAGACATATGGCCAATAAAACTTTGATCATACTTCTCTTTTAAAAGGTTATATGAAGTGGACTGAAGTTGTCCTTTAATGAGTAGCAGGCTACTAAACACACATCATTCCTTCACTCCCCTCAGGAGTTAAAGTGTACTTATGAAATAACCATGGCCTCCCACCACCCAAACAATGTTCTTATTACACACACAGGCATTGCTCTGGCACATTCTAAAGCCTATCATCAAACTCATACAAGCAAGGCAAAATAAAAAGTATGGCAGCATTTCTTATTTCAAGATTCATGAGCCCTGCAGTACAGGCAGCAGAGTATATACTGCAACATGACCCAGAACTAGCAATCACCATCTGGCTGTGGGCAGCGCAGGCAGTGTGCCTGAATCTGATTAAAGATTTGTATGTCTGTGTGTGATGGGCATAGAGTGATAGGGAGAGCACCTAATATTTTGTAAATACATTTTAAATTGGTCACCCGACAGGTCAATGATTTTCTTTTCTCTTACCAATTATAGTTTAAGACAAGCAAAGTCAACCAGAACAGGAAGAATTACCGTAAATCTCCTGGTTCACATTCTCTTGTCGCTTAACCTTAGATCTCAGTGCTTCACTGGTGGCTGCTATGTCAAAGGATGATATGGGGCTGATATCTGGTGTGGAAAGAGGGGTGACATCTGTGACTGTGTCCTCCGATTCATCAGCATAGTCTCTTAGATCTCTGATAGGTGGTCTAGATGCCTTGCGTTCAGGAGAGCGCAGAGATGAGGGCACTTTGTCTCTTAATGACTGATAAGATTTTGATGTTTGGTCATCTGAAGGAGCATCAGAAAACTCTGTATCTGAGCTAGAAATGGAAGAAGGAAAATCCCTGCTGTACTTTGTCACATTTTTCTTTCCAATACTGGTTTGCTTTGCAGTTTTGGGCCTGGAACTCCGGCTTTCGTCTTCGCTACTGTCCTCCTCATCAGGGTAATAATTGTCTTCAAACTCTCGTCTGATCTGGGGGATTCCTGTTGGAATAGTTGCTTCTATTTTTAAGCTCTGCACAGAATCTCGGCCTGACTTTGCTGCACTTCTGGGTCTCATTGGATCTGGAGACGACTTAGGTTCTGGAGAACTTTTATCAATAGACGCCACTGACTCCTCTTCACTTTCCATTTTGCTTGTTCCTTCCTCTGCATCATCTTCTCTTCCGTCTGACCCAGAATCCATAACTTTATTCTGTTTGTACTCATGCTTGCTAGTGCTTGAGCTAGTCACAACTTTTTTCCCTTTGTCATCATCATCACTATCAAAAAAAGAGTGATCCACTTCTCCCTCATCAGAAAGATTGGCATATCGCTCCAATGATATCAAATTATGTCAGAACCTGAAGATAAAAAAAAAGGTAAACATAAAATTTTGCAAATGTAATTTCTTTTTTTTTTTTTTTTAATTTTTATTCATTTTGCATAATAAATTATACATACATTCATTGTAAACCTGCTTACTTTTCAAATAATGTTCTAACATTTACATAAATCTAATTTAATGTAACCTTTTTTCATCTCCCCCCTTTAAATGTAATTTATTAATCCAATTAAAGTGGAGCAACATCCAAAAATGTAATAGAGTATAGTAGGGTTAGACCCTCTGCAAGATTTTTATTACGGTTTGTCTACCTAATTAAGTGCCTTGTCATACCGGTGAAATTTGCGATCTGAAATTGCATGTCAGTGTCTTAACTTGTGCGATTTTCTGCAGCACGATTTCTAAAGTAGTTCTTGCATTAATTTTTTTGCAGTTTGAGATTTCGCATACATAGAATATAATGGAAATCACAATGCAAATTGCAAGAATTTTTGAAAATCCTCACAAGTTGCAATAAATTCTTCAGAAATTGCACCTGAAATTGAGCTGAAGTCGCACACTAAAGCACACAATTTTAAATCACAGCGGTGTGACCGGAGACTAAAACAATTTGCGCTCAGACTCTGTGTGGTTACCAGGACAAGAAGTGAAAAGTAAATTCTGAACATGGATAAATGCAATTACAAAATGTATTTTTTTTTTTCTGAGAAGAAATAAAGTACACATGCCTTTTATATTTAAATACAGATATGAAAATCTTTCTAATTTTGTGTGTGGTTACCTGGGTAGGAAATAAGGCCCTGTGGCCCAACACGTGACCTGCCAGGCTGCCATGAGTGGTCACCTGAGTGTTGGGCACAAGGTAAACAAATGGCTGAGTTGGTCCTGGCACTAGCCACATTGCAGCGCTGGCGCAGCTTATAACTTACAATAAAAAATGAAAAACAAATAACGCTTTACTGATCTTATCTGCTTATTGTGCCAAACACATCCATCACCTCGACATGTCACATGACACAGCTGTAGTGAGGGTGTTTTCTTTTATAGTTTTTTAGTTTTCTCAGTACATTTAGGTTTTCTTTTTCATAGTGCGTGTTTTTTGTTTGTCCACACCAGCTGCGTTGGGCAGTGTTGCCCAATGCAAGGGCAAGGCATTGCCTTATGTCCTATGGCTTCAGAAAAAAAAATAGAACATTTTTGCACAGCATGTTCTGACACTCTGTAATGCATAGCAATGTGCTCCTGCACATAAGACAAGTTAAAAAAAAAAACCAAAAACCCTGTTGCAATTTAACAACGCATTGCAGCGCACAGCAGCATGTGCACCTTATGCACACACTAACCGATGCACCACTGTGAAGAAGCACACATTCTATTGTATGGGAGGGCTGAGACAACTAATCTACAAAATCGATTATGAAAAGAGTGGTCAACTATTTTCATAATTGATTAGTCGGTCTGCATACAGAATGCATTATTCGTTTACATATCAGAAAATACAGTGCAGCACACATACAGCTCAGTACACCGTTCATAAACGTCAGTAAGTGCCTAAGAACTTGTGAATTTGAATGTGTGAGGAGCAATGCCTCATGGGACATGTAGTCCTGGGCAGGAGAAGGAAGCGAGTGATTCTAAAAGGCAGAAGTTTTTATACCTTGCTAAAGAGGCATGCTATACTATATTTTGCGGTTTGTTACAGAGGCAATCTGAAGGCAGCAGGAGCCAGAATGGCCAGCGGGGAGCCGAGGTGAGAATCAGGGCTGCTCTGTGCAAAACATGTATAAATACATCAGGGGTTCATATAGTGAACTCGGTGTAGAGCTATTCTGTGAGGTCATCACAGAGGACAAGGGGGCACTCTTGATGTCTGGAAGAAAAGAAATTTAATCTCCAAACACAGTAAGAGCTGTGAAAATGTGGAATAGACGCCCTCAAAAGTTGGCTCTGGCCAGCTCAGTGGATTGCTTTAAAAAAAAGTCCTGGATTCTTTCTTAGATATACAGAATATAACTAGATACTTACATGTATAGGTAAAGTTGATCCCGGGAATATCCAATTGCCTCTCGGGGGATCGTGAAGGAATTTTTTCCCCTGTAGGAGCAAATTGGATCATGTTTTGCTGTTTTTTTTTGCCTTCCTCTGGATCAACTGTGAGTATAGGATTATAACTTTTTTTTTTTTTTTTTTAATGGTTGAACTGGATGGACTTTTGTCTTTTTTCCAGACAGACTCACTATGTAACTATGTATGACAAGTTTGTAGATTAAAGTAGAAGTATGGAATAGGCTAAATAATTCACAAATATTACCATATTCATGAACCATCTCTTATTTATTTCTTTCCTCTGTCTTTTTGTTTTTCCAGTAAGAGCACTTCATCTGTCATGTAGGTCTTTATAACGATCTGTTTGCGGTTTGAAAGTTTAGAGGGGGCAGTTACAGCTTCAGCAAGCCACCCCCTCCTTCTGTCCCTCCTCTACTGAGAGATGTGGCCACACCTACTGAACAGGCAAACCCCTGAACAGTAAAAGAGTTCAGGCACTGTGATATTCCTATGCATAGTGGAAAATACATAAGTGGTGTAGACGTGGCCGGATCTAGGGGGAGGTTTTGGAGAGGGCTGAGCTCCCCCCAGATTTCAATTGTGCCCCCATCCTTCTTGGCAGCTGTGTTCATTGAGCTCTTCACATCCCTGTATGCCTCACAGTCTCAGTACAAGCAGCAAAGCTCCTTTCCCCCTCCTCCCCCACAACACACAGCTCAACCGATTGTTTTACAGACAGCCTCTATCTGCACACTGTACATCTGGATGCTATGCTGCACAGCCGTTATCTAGGAACTTCACATATCAGAACTGCAGCACAGCAGGCAGCTACTCAGTGTGCAGATAGAGGTTGTCTGTAAGAGGTTTGGGTGAGCAAACAGTCCAGATCCGACATCAATCCTACGCAGAAGAAGGAAAGGAAGTGGATCCAGACCAGATTGTCAGCATAAGAATCAAGAGAAAGACTGTAGCCCCCCTCCCACAGGTATTTACCTTGATTTTAACAGAAAGGGTGCATTTCTCAGAGCACTGGAAAGATTTTTATGTATTAGCAGCTCACAGGGAATAGGATGAAGCTAAAAAAAGAAAAAAAGAAAGAAACCCATTCTTCTCTTTTAAAAGAAAAGCCAACTTTTACAATCACTTTAAGGGCCCTGTGCAGGCAAGATCAGCATCTGAACCAGAGAAGCTGGAGGTCGAAAGACTGGAGGTAATAGACAGCATTACAATTAAATATGGAGTAAAAGTTTACCAGTATTTTGCATTACATTTAAAAATGATTATATCCATGAAAAAAGTCTTAGTCCATTAACTAACACACACGTTATATTGCCAAAAGTATTGGCATGCCTGCCTTTACACGCACATTATCTTTAATGGCATCCCAATCTTTAGTCCGTAGGGTTTAATATGGAGTTGGCCCACCTTTTGCAGCTACAACAGCTTCACCTCTTCTGGGAAGGCTGTCCACAAGGTTTAGGAGTGTGTCTATGGGAATGTTTGACCATTCTTCCAGAAGCGCATTTGTGAGGTCAGGCACTGATGTTGGACGAGAAGGCCTGGCTTGCAGTCTCCGCTCTAATGGATACCAAAGGTGTTCTATCGGGTTGAGGTCAGGACTCTGTGCAGGTCAGTCAAATTCCTCTACCCCAAACTCGCTCATCCATGTCTTTGTGGACTTTGCTTTGTGCACTGGTGCGCAGTCATGTTGCTAGGCCAAGGGGCCATCCCCAAACTGTTCCCACAAAGTTGGGAGCATGAAATTGTCCAAAATGTCTTGGTATGCTGACGCCTTAAGAATTCCCTTCACTGCAACTAAGGGGCCCAGCCCAACCCCTGAAAAACAACCCCACAGCATAATCCCCCCTCCAAACTTTACACAATGCAGTCAGGCAAGTACCACTCTCCTGGCAACCACCAAACCCAGACACATCCATCGGATTGCCAGACAAAGAAGCACGATTCCTCACTCCAGAGAACATGTTTCTGCTGCTCTGGAGTCCACTGGCAGTGTGCGTTACATCACGGCATTCGACACTTTGCATTGCACTTGGTGATGTAAGGCTTTGGATGCAGCTGCTCTGCCATGGAAACCCATTCCATGAAGCTCTCTACGCACTGTTCTTGTGCCAATCTGAAGGCCACACAAAGTTTGGCGGTCTTTAGCTATTGACTCTGCAAACAGTTGGCGACTTCTGCACACCATGCGCTTCAGAATGCACTGACCCCGCTCTGTCATTTTACATAGTTAGTCTGGCTGAAAAAAGACAAAAGTCCATCCAGTTCAACCATAAAAAAAAAAAAAAAAAAAAAAAAAAAAAGTTATAATCCTACATCCACAGTTAATCCAGAGGAAGGCAAAAAACCCAGCAAAGCATGATCCAATTTGCTCCTGCAGGGGAAAAAAATTTCCTTCCTGATCCCCGTGAGGCAATCGGATATTCCCTGGATCAACTTTACCTATACATGTTAGTATCCAGTTATATTCTGTGTATCCAAGAAAGAATCCAGGCCTTTTTTAAAGCAATCCACTGAGCTGGCCGGAACCAACTCTTGAGGGAGTCTATTCCACATTTTCACAGATCTTATGGAGAAGAAACATTCTGTGTTTAGAGATTAAATTTCTTTTCCTCCTGACCTAAAGAGTTCTCTCTTGTCCTCTGTGTTGACCTCAGGGTGAATAACTCTACACCGAGTTCACTATATGAACCACTGACGTATTTATACATTTTTACATGGCCTACCACTTGGTGGCTGAGTTGCTGTTGTTCTCAATTGCTCCAACTTTGTTATAATGCCGCTAACAGTTGTCTGTGGAATATTTAGTAGCAAGGAAATTTCATGGATGGACGTGCTAGGATGATAAAAAAAAAAATTTTGCATGTTGTGGCTACTAAATACCTTATGGTGGCCATGCACGCATCAATTTTCAGACAAAAATAATCGCA